GCAAGTACTTAGAGTTATCATATTCGAATAAAATTTTGCACAGCTTATTTTTAGACCAAAAGACATATTTTTGAGCCCGGCAAACTGTATATTTAAAAAAATAGTTAAAATAACGAACGGTCTAATGTACATGCCTTGACATGCACAAGTAGATTTTAAAAGTTGTATTAAATAAAGTACACGAGTGCATTCAGTTACTACTAGTTGAAAGCGTTGAGAGCAATTAGTATTGACTTATTTCATTTCTTGCCAAGTAAATAAGTATAGTATATTATTGAGCTATTGCTTCATAGTGAATACAAGCAATACAAAAAAAAGTAATGTCACCATAATATTTTAATGCCAGCCTTCCAAAGTATCGCCAAACTAATATTTAAACTAATATTAAATAATGAACAAATTTGACTTAAGTGCCTTTAAGATGCCAATGGCCTAAATAAGGAATTAGTTTTTTCCACAACTACGTAATTACTTTCACTCCACTTGAGAATGCATTACTCAAACAAGACGCTAGATCTAGACGATAACTAGTTTTATTTACTCTTGCACATACATACATATGTACGTACTCACGGATAGGCTATTGATAAGGCGGAGTGGGTGCTAAGTGCATACTCATTCCGGTTTGAGGCGGTTCATATAATAGCAAATGTATCGAAGAAAAAATTAAACGAAATGTACTAAGTATGAAATGTAGTGTGTTTGAAGAAGCTTATAAGCTGATATTTTTAACTAGGGCCGCCACTTTTTCCAAAACTAAAAAAAAACAAGTAATTTTTAAGCAAAAAACAAAACCGACTTCAATTCTCATATAAATATTTAAGATTATCGTTATCCGATCTAAACAAAATTCGTAAAGGACCACCCTTGAGGTACCAGCTTTCCAAAAAAAAGAAGGAAAAAGAATTATCGAAATCGGTTAACGTGGTCCAAAGTTATGTGGTAAATACATAAAAAAAATATTCTGACGAACTGATAATCTTCTCCTTTATATCAAGTTGGTTCAAAATATATATACATATATGTATTTAAGCCCAAAAAAATTTTGCAATTTAGTCCTACAGTAGCATGGTTGAAATATTTTAGTTCTGTCACTTTAAGTTCTTTGCCGCTTTCGCACGTTTGTATCGAAGATTGCGAAATTTTAAATTTTTCCGAGCAGTTTCTTGGATTTTTATGTTATATGGGGGAAATTTGGCATGATTCAATTATTAAAGGTTTTGTAAGTAGCTTTTTTCTAAAATTTGGCACTCCCACCCACAGGGATGGTTTATGGAAGCAGGAGAAAAAGGGGAAGAATTCAATCACACTTCCTAAAATGGGAGCTAAATTCCATAAAAAGGTGTGGATAATAGTGAATGGTGGTATTTTAAAACAAAAGCGAATTTGATTTAATTATTTAATTTAAACAAGCTTATTTACATCGAATATAACCCCCGATTTTATTGAAAATAAATATTTCTATGTATATACCAAACTTGCGTACGTCAGATGGCGCATAACTCGAGAATGGATGGAGGATGGTCCACTTTCAGCTTTTTTTTTGTTGTATTTGTTTGCCAGATGATGGATATGAAGAAGCTATTTGTTTGTGGAAAATATGCAGTATTTATTAAATAAAAAAAAACGGCAAATATAAAAATTTGGAGCTTACGTTTCCTTCGCGGATATGGCTCGATTGTTTCGAATATGGTAATTCGAATTCTTTGATGTCGCACTTTTAATATTCTGGGGAGACTATACAACTGTCAGAATATTAACCATTCGCCGGGTTGCCCGAAAAAAAATTTAATGATTAAAAATATCAAAATATAAAAAAATATAAAAATATTCGCCATAAAAAGGCGTTTGCATTGTTCAACTTTGCATTCTACTTTCAACTAATCGCTTTCAACAAAGTTGGTCGCCAGCCAACATTCGCCTCGTGCGTAAATCTTTTAAGTGTGCAATTACATACATCGTGCCATTGACTAAACCGAACTGTCGTGTGACGATTGGGCCTATGGATGCGGTTTGGCAATGTTATATTGCGTCAAAGCCTCATTCGGAGACACCAGGATACCTTCGTTGGCTCATTTACCAAAACCATTGCATGCTTTACTTTACAGCGACTTGGCAGAATCAAGAGGTCTCCACGAATATCGACAAATATATTTCGGCATTTAAGGGAATTTCGTTTTTTTAGCCTACATTGAATTTCTGTAGTCCAACGATGCTCAACCATTTTGTCTTGTTGGCGCCAGCGAATGAAGAACCAACATTTCTTCAAATTTAAAAAGTAAAAATTTCACTACTAACAATTTAAAAATGTTCTTAAAACTTGCAAAGATATTTGGAAAAGAAATATCACTGTTTTTGTTTTTAGGAGTAGGGTGGGAGTGTCATTGATAAAATTAGAGCGAGAGAAAGTTTTTCTTACAAAACCTTTCATTATTGAATCATGGAAATTTGGCACATTTGAGTGACAAGTAAACTTTAATAAATAAAAATAAATTTTTGAATGTAGCTTTCTGTAATAAGGTTGCATGAATTGCGAGTTGTTCCGGTAAATTTGGGGGAAAATTTGTTTCCCGATGCATTTTTGGCCCACCCTAATGTACATACATATGTACGTACATTGGAGTGTATTACAAAAAATTTCAATTTGTTCCAAGCGATTTTGAACACACACAAAGAGAGTATTTTAAGGCTGTAAATTTTTTTTTCGCACCCCAAAAGAACAGTTAAATCGTTGTTTTTCCATAACTTCTTTAATTCATGTGCGATTTTTATAAGTAATATAACGTCGTAAAGATATTAGAAGAGCCTACATACAACACCCTGTAATCAGTAGTAAGAACCTTAAAAATACATGGTGAAGGGCGCATCGGTCATATATTTTCCAAGCTTAAATAGCCCAGAACGCCATAGCCAGCTTGATTCTCGAAAATATTTAATTTAACTATATATGCATATAATAATAATTACTAGTAGTTAGCTCCTTTTTAATGAAGTTTAGTTAGTACTTTTCTTGCAGAAGGGTTATAATTTAACATGGGAAACAAGTTTTCTGGCATACAACATTGCGTACGGGTTGTCGTTCTCAGACAAATGAACATAACTTGCAAAGTTTATGAGACATGATAATAGTTCTTTGTACTTGCTGAAAACCCTTACAACGATGTAGAATTTATTTATAGAAATCATGTTATAGAAAAAAATCGATTTAGTTGTTCTTACAGGCCGCCGGAGAAAAATTTACTTTCCTGAAAAACTCCGCTTGTAATTGTTCAGCATCGCTTGGAACAAATTGAGCATCGTGATACGGTCTAATGTACATATGTGTGTCTCGCGAATTCGTGAACATTGCTTCTTGTCAAATGACACCAAACAAAATAGTATTATTTTTTTTTGTTAGTTTCTACCATTTTTAGAGAATAATTGCATCCACTTATTTAGATGAATTAAAGATGAAATTGAGTCTGCTGCTCTTTTCATTAGACTCCAACAAGCACGTGCAACTGTGGTTATTAACCTACATATATGAATGTGTGTACATACATATGTGTATATAAATGTGTCTGTGCATCTAAGTTAAAAACCGGTAATAAATTCAAAAATTTTATTCAATGCCAATGAGCAACAGGAGCAAAAAATCTAACCAGTTTTTAATTGACTTGATGATTTCGTCATTTGTAAATGCGGTATTCATAATTTATTAAAGGACTGTTTCAACAAATACACAAGAAAAAACAAATCATTGAATATCAAAAAGGCAGTTATTATTTTTCAAACCAATATTTATGTAGCTAAAAGCGAATCGGAAAAAAACCAAATGGCTTGCATTTGATGGTGTACCGCCTGTAGGCGCACCGCTCCGACCGAGGCAGCACACATACATTCATATGCATACCGGCTTGTCTAATGAAAAGCCCTGAAAAATGTAAACCAGGCGAATAGCTCAGCGCTCAGCGTTTGCCGTCTTGCGTGCCGATCTAACTCAAGTCATTAAATGTAATTAGCATAAAAGCTCACATATGCTTATTCAAATAAAATTCGAGTACTACCTACTAAGTACATAAGTATGTAAGTGAAGCAATGCTGAGCGGCGGCGCTGAACTTCTGGCAATTGTATGATGAGCGTCACACCGACCTTCAATAAGTAGTGTTGCGTCTATTTACGCAGCCGGTTTTCAAGTTCCGTACGCACACATTTGCCACCCTAAAAGCGCAGTTACCCACGGACGTAAAAAAGGAGAACGTGTCAGCTGACACGATCTATCTATCTTATGGGATCTGTATGTTAACAAAAACTCACCACCGCATGACCGTGACGTAGACGTTGGCTTCTCTATCTTTCTATCAAGAGGAAACTTGATATGTTTCTACGTACTTCTATTCCACGCTACATACACGTTAGTGGGTAACCGCGCTCTAAGTCTATTC